CTGTTATCCACCGTCCACCGAGTGTCTCTGCAGACCCCAGATGGTGAGCTCTGATCTGCCCTCCAAGTGAGTCAGAGAACATCCATCTGCAGGAGGTCCTTGTGATGGACTTTTGTTAGTCAAGCTGTATGCATAACAGAATGTTAGAAAGCTTGGTGACTGGCTGCTATGTGCAGTTCTGCTTGTAAGTGAATGCATGTAAATCAGCAATGGTTTTGGAGAAAAGCCAGATGGTCTTGACATGAATTGTTTAGAACAACTAAGGATGATTCTGAGGTTTGTGCCTCAGATGATACCTGTCATTTTTCTTTTTGTTAGGTTTTTTTCCCACATTTGAAGGTTTCTTTTGCAGTTTAGCATCAGTTTTAGCTAATCATATGAAACAGATCTGTGTTTCTGGATTTAAAATATTTCATTCAAAAAGTTTGCCTACATAGCAGACATCCAGCTCACAGCTAGCCCCAACCCTAAGGGGGAGAGCCTGACTCAAGGGCCCAGTGGAGAAACAACTATGCCAGTCGTGGGATTTGAACTGGCAACCTTCCGGGTATGAGCACAATACCTAAACCCACACAGCCACACACCAGCCTATGCATGACTGCTCTGTTACGAATGGTGATCTCACTAAGACATTAAAGGGTAAGTGAAAGAACACAAGTGATTGAATGAGAGATTTCCAGTAAATGCATGAAAACAGAAATGCAAACAGGTATTGTGGGCTGAGCCAAGACCAACAAGACCACTTAGTAGCAGAACATTTGGGCTTAAAGGGAGTGGATTCAGAACAAAATATTTAATGCATGAGCAAGCAGACTAAGTTCTTGAATTACTTGAGCCATTTAGTCCATTACAACTTTCGGAAACTAACAATGATTACGACTATTTAAAGGCAGACATATATAACTTTAATCTAAAGTATAATTGCCTTATTTCCCTGCAAAGCTCAGTCTGATTGCAAATATAGCCTGGACTTGTTACATGGAAATGTAGATCTAAATGTGCCAGTTTAAAAAAAATGAGCCACTGGTTTATAACGAGTCAACTTTGTGGCTGGGGCTCATCAGACAATCTCTTTGATGTGCACCTGCATCACTTCAGATCTCACTTTCATCTCTATCTTTCCATCTTTCATCTTCTATATCTTTATTGGTGCTCTCCCAACATTTTTTTTTCTTAATTTCTGCCTCCAAATTGGGTAACAGCTGTTGCTAAACTGAATGTTTCCCTCTTCTTCTGCAGTGAATGAAATATTTGCCCCAACAAATAGCGAAAGCCGTCATGGATTTTTGCGACCATTAAAAACATCCTAGTGAACAAGACTACTGACTGTGAATGGAATTCCAAACAAATCCCATGATTTATTTCCTCCATTCCCTGCAAATCCCCAATGACCATCGTCATCAGATGCTTGTGCAGGTAAATGTTCCCTCTTTTCTTCACAGATCCATAATTAGTCATTCCTGTTTAGAGTAAGACTTGTCACCTTAGAAGTACCCAATTTGATCATTCAGATGGGGGGTGATGCTTCACAAAGTCCTAAAAGTTAAATCTTCCAAAATCCCTCTCTGTACTTTGTCACACTTCCTATGTTAAAGGACACCTGAGGGCCCATTGCTCCCAGTGGCACAGCCTGCTTTAATGTCCAGGGATGGATTTTACATCAGCATCTAACACAATCATAACCCTGACCTACTACTGAGAAAACTCTCCGAAATGAATATTAATCATTTCCTGTGCAAACAGATTCTCACTTTTTCAGACTAACTGGAGTAAGTCTGAGGAGCAAGCCTTACTTTGCACTAAGTCTGAGGAGCAAGCCTTACTCGGCACTAAGTCTGAGGAACAAAGCCTTACTCTGCACTAAGTCTGAGGAGCAAGTCTTACTCTGCACTAAGTCTGAGGAGCAAGCCTTACTCGGCACTAAGTCTGAGGAGCAAGCCTTACTCGGCACTAAGTCTGAGAAGTAAGCCTTACTCGGTACTAAGTCTGAGGAACAAGCCTTACTCATCACAAAGTCTGAGGAGCAAGCCTTACTCGGCACTAAGTCTGAGGAGCAAGCCTTACTCTGCACTAAGTCTGAGGAGCAAGCCTTACTCGGCACTAAGTCTAACTTGGCTCTCACAAGCCCCCGTCCGGTTAGCCAGGGCACTATTGTCAATCCGGTGCAATCCTGTAAATTCTCAAGCCAACTCCACCGGGATGAAAATGTTGCTTGCACTGTAAAGCAAGCACAGTGGTACATGTGCTTCTTAAGACATCCCAAGACGCTTGGCACTGAACAAATTATTCTCGTACAGTTAGGCGACGACTGGCTCCAACCTTCTGTAGCGGTGCTCTACAAATCTAGAAGGGCCACCAAGATTGCTGCAGATCTCCCAAACCCTGGTCATCTTTTATTTCAAAAGCTTATACAAGACTTCTTTTTTTTTAAAGCAATCAAAGCCAAAACCAGACAGCCAGACTATTTCTTTATCAATGCCAGATCCCTGCTTGGCTGGCATCCTTCAACTACACATCTCAGTTGAAAAAACATTGTGCCATCAAGGCCAATTGCCCCAGGGGCACTGGACACTGGCTGACCCTGCACTGTGACCCCAAAACTTGCTCTAACCAATCTGTGTGTCTTATAGAGAATAATAGGGTATAGGTGAAAAGACAATGTCCCCGCAAAGATGAAAAAAGTACCATTATTATATTGTACAAAACTTGTACATACTGTAACATCTGTTTGCATACTTGCACTACTGTGAAATGCATGTATAATGTCTACTGTACATTCCACACTGCCAGCACGAACTGTGCCTGTACAGTGACTCCCTCAAGATCCGCACACTGTACAGTGTAATGTTCCCTTTTGTTAACGATCCATTTGTTACCATCAGCGCTTCTTTTGGACTAGTGACTAACAGAACTTTCGATTCTAATCAATCACACCCCATCTACCTTGACGTTCTTCAAACTGCACGTCTCTAGCCGACGGACGGCAAACGAAACAGAGTATCGCTAATCTGGTTGACGTGTGCATTAGGGGCGTTTGATATCTAATCTACCATCTCTGCTGCCAGGAATAAATATCAGCAGTCAGAAACAGTCCAGTTCAAACTCGCACATACTGCCTGCGACCTGCGCATCACTCCCCCCCCCCCCAGCCACCCACCTCCTCTGCCTCCTCCTCACGTCTCACAAGGGACCATGCCGGCACATTTTTCAATGGAAAAAAAAAACAGAAGATTGTCCCCACAGACATTGCAATGATCCTCCTACTGGCTGCCCTCTCCCCCCTCGGAGAGCCACCTGGCTTGATCTTTTCTCCTCCTAATAACTCTGGTCCCTCTGTCATTCATCCTTGGGTGGTTATAGCTCTTTGGAACACACGTAAACTTTTCTGTCCTTTCCCCAAAAGTGGGTCACATCCACATGCTTATATCCATCATCACTGCTTGCCTATGTGCTTCATTTTATCCTCAGGCTTTTCCAAGTCTAATCTACAACATCCCACATGCTGGAAGACCTCAGCACTGCCACCCCGCCACCCAAACCAAATATATTTGTCATTTAAATACAGCAGCCACATTTCCAAGACTGTTAGTATGCATAACTTGGGATTACCAAACTCTTGTGATCATTAGTATCCTGACTTGCCTGACATTCTTTACATACATGCATCAGGGATAAAATGTAGAACAAAATGCCAGCATTATCACAATGTCATTACCTACTAAATTATATGATATGATATCTCTTAATTATTATTCAGATAATTAATCTGAATGAGATGTCCTCTGCTATGTCATGATGTCATATATGGATTAAATGCTGAGGACACATTTCATTGTTGTGCACTGTGGTGTGTCAACACTGATCACTGAATTCTAAAAATTCAATATACTGTACAAGAAAGAAAGACCAGTCATCAACATGTTAAGGTGCTCTGGTTGCTTTATACAGTCCAAAAACACACACTTGGGTAATCTGTGTTTCTAAAGCTCCCTGTCTCTGCATTCTGTGTAATAACCCTGCCTTGTGTGGTGACGAGTTCTTCTAAAGTTAAGGGTGATCATAGTAACAACTCACTACACACCGGATACGGAATAACCACATCTTATCTTAGGTGATATCAAACCAATTTGAAAAAAAAAAAAAACTGTATTGCAAATTAGTATAGTGCCGCTAAACATCGTCTTCAGTATTTGTTAACATGGCAGGCTTTTATTTCAGACACATTTCAGCAGCACTGTCCACTTGGCTACTGAAATGTGTAAGACCCAATGCAGGCTGCTGGGCTAAAGAGTCCTATTCCGGCACATATAGGCTACCATGACTCAGACCATATCCTGGAGTTTAATAGTAGCTCAAATGTAGACAAATCCCATACACATTTTATGGGTTCCGTAACATGTATTCAGAATACAGCCACATGCCTCATGACACTGTTTACATGGACACTAAGAAAAGACACGGTGACAGCGTTACATGGGAGCGATCGAAGCACCAGGGTAGAGTACCAGAGTACCGTGCCTTTCTTGACTTCATATGTAAGTACTTCAGTAGACTGACCACTAAAAACTCCCAAATTAAAATAATGCCATCAGCAGTGCATGTCACGTTATAACGCAATTGAAATAACATTGTAAAAAAATCATTCAGGTTAATGTGGGAATGATTCAGGTAGAACATGCCGACTACAGACCGATATGAGAATTTTTTACTCGATCCTGCCGGCTACAGACCAATGTGGGAATATATTAGGAAGACCATGCTACGGACCACCGCCTCCCATGTGATGAACTTGGAGGATTGACTGATTAACGTGCCGAAACAAACCACGATGTTTCCCGTAAAATAAAGCAGATCGAGCAGAAGACAACCTGTGTTACGGTGTCTATCAGCTCTGCCCTCACACTGATACACTGTCGCTCGGCTGCTTATTACTGCCGCATCTCGGCGAATCCCGTCGCCCGGCTGGTCGCATACACTGATCGGGCGATCGCGGATCTTACCCGTCTTGTCCGTCGTCCCGTACTGAAGCACCTTCAGGCCGTTATTCTCGCCCCTCTAGGTCTGAGATTACGCCAAATACCAATGAATAGTCATTTTCCCGTAGAAGTGAAGTTGCTGGTCTTGGAAGAAGATGGCCGCTGCAGCTCAGTTTGGGTTTAACTGGGTGACGTGATGGTGATCTTACCCTTAACTCTTTAAAGTCCCCAAGGCAGGCGGCCTGCATGTGCGCCGAAGAGCTGCACAGGAATAAGTAAAGATCATTTACGCTCTGCAGCCTATATGGGACAAATGCGAATAGTCGTGAATAAAAAGTATGCCTTCGTGTGTATGCCTACATTAAATTAATGAAATGTCTTACAAATATATAGGCTAATCAAACCCAGGCAAACTGATTTTGCGACTCCTGGGACACCGAACCGCAGTAATTTAATCACTCCATGATATTCGTATTGATAAGCAGGGGACTAGTTGGACATTCGGGAGCCCCTAATAAAATGTATCTTTGCCCCCGCCCTCTTACATTATATGATGTACACATACACCTCTGTTGATAAGTATTTGTTTTATTTTCCCATGCTGCTATAGCCAGTATGGTTGCATTGCTGAGTCCATACAGACCCTATTTATTTTGGCTAACAATGGTGGGTTATGAAATCAAGCCACTTAACATTTTCTCATTCATTTTAAGGAACTGGCCCACATATTGATTCATTTAAACAAGAAATTAGATTCCTAAGTAATTGATTACATCATGGCTTACGAAAGATTTTTTTTTTTTCAAACGTCTTTATGGGTTATTTCGAGGTTAACTTGACTTGTAAATAAAAGGTCATGGACCCTCCATATATATAACGAAAACATCTTTAGCACACCGAGATGTAAAATCCGGTTTAGTTTTTTTACATTAAAATGTCGTGGTATGACGCAGTATGCCCGGTAACGGAATAGCTGCAAATTCAATTTCCAGTTTATTAATGTCTTTGCCTTGTTATAATGGTACTCATTACTTGATTTGGGCTTTGAAATGGGTTATGGGGTCAGCATAATTTAAGGCGAGCCTGCACTTGGTGATTTGCCTCTGTGGAGGTAAATGTATTAATATAAATAAATGTAAAATATGGCCTTCAAAATGTAACTGATTTGTGAACTTGATGGATCTAAAAAAGAAAAGGTGATGCAGCACGAATTTATTAAGGATCAGCGAGGAGGATTAATATGACGGGATGTACGATGATCCTGTCACTTAGATCAGCATGATTTTATCACCTTGTTAAGAGATAATTTTCAGAATTCCCAACATCATAGGCTGATGCCTTGTCGGTCAGTGTGGTGCATGTTATATAGCCGAAGCCTTCCTGTAAAAGCGCTTCCTGCCTTCAGCAGCTGTAAGGACTCTCAGAAAGGAAACAGGACGTCTGTTCACACACTTTACAGCATTTTCCCCAAAGTCTCCTTTCCTCCCCAAAGTACCGAAAACAGGAAATAAACAGCTGTTGATTTCCCACCAAGACCAACAAAGCCTATTAAAGGAAGAACTTGCATTAAGTTATTTAGAAATAAAGTAAACCGCCGCTCAGTATACTTTGGCAAATGGCTGGAGGCATGTCACCACCTTTAGATACCCAAAGTCTTCCGAAAGTCAACTATTAACACGACAAAGTTTTTTCGTGCCAGAACAGACAGACAGCAGTACTGATACGTGATCATGGGTTTCAAGGAGCATCTCTGAGAATACTGGTGCACACAGATATTAATCTAGTTTGAGAACATCAATGAATATATGGGTTCTATATGGTGTTATCTAATGTGCAGTGAATTATTTAAGAGCCCTTCATGCTGCTGAAGACCGAGCTTTCAGCTTCCACTTAGGACAAGTATTGCAAGACAGACAGTTGTGCGCATAACTTCAGTTGATGGTCGTCTCCAAGGAGACACAGCTTTCAAAAAAAACTAGCAGAGGCAGTGAAAACTGCTTTATGAGATTTTGTATTTAAATATTTTAAAAAGGAATGGCAAACAGCATCCACATATATACATTAAAAATGTATCAAAATAAATAGCTGTCTGACAGATAGCCCAAAATTAGACGGCAGTTCATAACATGTCAGCTCGTTGTGAATCTGTAAGGAGTTCTTGGTCCCATCCGATTTAGAAGCGACAAATGCTGGTCACCTCCTGTCCCAAGACTCTGTCTCCTTTGTGGCCGGCTGGTCGTGCATGGAGCCGTGGAGGAACTGGTGCAGGAGCCGGGCGGTGATGGTGCTGCCCAGGATTTCCGCCAGCCTGTCCTGGCTGAGGGCGGCTAGGTCCGCCAGGCTGCCGGCGTTGTTAATGAGGGCACGGAAGTTGTTGGCATTGACGCCGGGCATACGCAGCAGGAAGTCGTACGGGCCAGGGTTGTAGAGGTCAGCGGACTCCGCCACCATGTCGGATTCGGCGGTGACGGCCTGTGCGGCGGCGGCATCCGGCTCGGTCCGGCCGCGCTTCAGTTCCTGGAAGAGCTCGGCCGTGACGTGGGGGGAGGGACACCAGAGCAGGCGCAGCCGGGGGAAGTGTAAGGTGAGCAGGGTGAGCTTGGAGGTGACGTCGCTGGCCGAGATCTCCTGCCGCAGGTCGGATCGTGCCACCAGGGAGAAGGGCTTAGCCGGGTCGAACTCGATGAGGAGGACTGGCCTCCGGTAGAAGCGGGTCATGGAGAGGCACTGCGTGTAGAGCCGGCCGCTCTGCAGCGAGCCGATCAGGTCGCTCACGCTCTTGCGCTCAACGCAGATGTCCGCCGTGAGGATGTAGTCACCCACTTCCAGTGTCACAGGCTCGATGTCCAGGCCCCGCCGGTGCAGCAGGGATGGCAGCTCGCTGCGGAACTCACGCATGTCCACGATGACGCGGGAGGGGGGCGTCGCCGGGTCCTGACCGCCTAATAAACACAGACACAGAGCGTCACACCGCACCGCGCCGGGACAGGACACGAGCGGGGAGCCGCGGGGCGGATGGGCATGGGCTCGCCTGCTTTGCGAGTGCTGGAGCTGCCGTCGGCTCCCTCCTGGCTGCGGAGCAGGTCGAGGTTGGTGTCTCCCCGTCCCTCTCGCTCCTCAGGAACCACCATGCTTGCCTTCTCCCTGCACGCACCCGCAGATCACACCATTGCCGGTCACTACGCAGTGTAAAGGCGTGGAAAGTAACAGAGGCCTCCCCTCCTTCTCCCAAGAGAAGGTGAAAGGAGAGACGGCTACACCTGCAGGCTGCTGACCTGATGAGATGTTCGAAGGCCTCCTTCTCTTTGCGCAGGGCAGTCAGGTACCGCTGCTCCTCTGTGGAGCCACCGTATATGAGGAAATAGACCCTGAAGGAGAATTGCTGAATCATGATAAAGACACAGAAATGACTGTAACTGTTAGCCTGACTGATGTCCACCCACCTCATGGCTCTGCCTGGACGGCTGGCTTTATAGATCTCCAGCTGCCGCACGAAGGGCAGCTCTGCGTCGTACAGCACCACGTATTTGGGCTCCACCTCGTGCAGCATCCGCGTCAGGCTGTAGGGGTCGCTGCAGCCCTTCAGTGGGTGGATCACAGTCAGCGGCTCCTTCAGAATGCCATAATAGGCATCTCCGGGTAGGTCTAAGAGAAGCTCCTCTTCCTCCACCTCATCCTCGCTGCTGCCCATCTTCTGCACCTCCAGCCCGCCCTCTCTCACCATCTGCGTGAGTGTGAGACGGTCCTTGTTCTGGCTCTTCTTGTCCCTCTTCTGCTTGCCTTTGGATTTCCTGCCTTTCCCGCCCTTCCCAGGCTGTTTCCCGTCCCAAGCTCCGCCCCCCTGCTCGAAGGCCGGCTCGCGGGGAGCCTCGCTCCTGCCCAGGGTGCGAGCGTAGAGTCGGCTGAGCAGGCGCTCGCCACCTCGGCTGATGTACTCGCGCAGCTGGGCACAGGTTCGGTCATCGCTGGCGCAGATCAGCACCCGGCCTGAAAGTCGGGGGGGGGGGGGGGCGGCGGGGGATATATAGACTGAAACTTCAAACACTTTCTTGTGCTTGACCAGACTGCTATTGTGAGGCTTAGCATGAGGACTGTGCGACATTTTAAATTTTTTCGAAGAATGCAAATGAAATGACTGGCCCCCACAGCCCACGCTCCTGCCCTCCTGCCCGCGATCAGGCACAGACAGGGCTCCCCTGCCCGCTACCCCCACTCGCCCCCACAGCCCACGGTCCTGCCCTCCTGCCCTCGATCAGGCACAGACAGGGCTCCCCTGCCCGCTACCCCCACTCGCCCCCGCCGCTCACCTGGGTCTTCCTGGCAGCTGCTGTTCTCTCTCTCGATCTCCTCCATCACCTGAGTCAGAGCCTCCCACTTGGGGCTCTTCTCCAGGACAAGCTCCCTCCTCACCTCAGCTGAGGCTGTATGTGGGTGAAGTTTGGGGAAGGGGGACCTCATTGAGAACAGGGGGACATGCACACGGAGGCCAGGGGCCAAGCAAGGCCGCATGGCGACCATGACGCGTACAGTTAGGGTATCTGGGCAGCATGCTGTCCATCCTGTTATGGGCGACTGACTACCTGCTCATCAGGCCCCTCCGTGTTCAGTAAAAAGCGAGCCCCTTTGCCCCCCGGCATACACCCGGCTGGGGGGTGTCAGCTACCTGTGCCGTCCAGCTTCTTCTGAGTGTCGCCGCCTCCCTTCAGCTTCTTGTGCGCCTCCAGCACGCGGTACACACGGGCGCGGGCGTTGACGAACATGGACGTGCTGGAATCCAAGAACAACCAGCCTGTGGAAAGAGCGCACTGCTAGGAAGGAGGGGGAGCGGCACGCCGGCGGCCACGGCCCCGACTCTCACGCGATTCCCGATCGGGCAGCTCGCAGGCAGGGGAAGAGCAAGGCCAGCATCCCACGAGCAGGAGTGACACTCAGAATCTGCACGTCCAAGGTCTGAATGCACAGAACTAAAGAGCAGCAGCTTATCAGTGGTTCTGGATCATTAAGATCATCATAGTACAGAAATGGTGTTAAAGTTACAGAAAATTTTAGCATTTGGTCCTATACAGGCGGCCTTGGAGCATTTCGGGCTCCCCGGTCTTTACCTGAGTTGCTTCCGAAGGCTTTCTGACTGGAGCGCAGGGACTCGAGTAGGTTCAGAAACGTAACACAGTCGTATTGGGTCAGGTAGAATAGCAGCGTGCGCAGAACTTTCAGATCGTGAACCAGGGCCTTGGTCTTGGCCCCCAGCTGGTGCCAGAGTGGATCCAGGTAGTGACGGATCGTCTTTGCGGGGAAAAACACACCGATGAGTCACAAAGACGTTTCACATATGATCACGAGCAAGAAAATGCTGAGCATCCATTAACTGCTCAGTAAAACAGCTAAGAACGAAATACGGGGCAATTTGTCATTGTATAGCATTCATACGCACAACAAAAGTCAGCATCTTTTAAAGCTGGACCCTTTAAAGAACACATATCATATTTGATTTTAAAAAAAAAGCCCAAGTGCATCAATGGGCTGCTCACTTTCTCGAAGGCGCTGCCCAGCGAGTTCTCCAGGGAGAGGTCTTCCGCCTCCAGCGTGGGATTGTACCGCTTGAGTTCCTTAAGGCAGGCATTCATGACATCCAGCACAGAGCTCTGAATGGCCCTCATAGCCGGAGTGAGGGACACGTGGAGCTCCACCACATCCGGCTTGTGTCTGTCCAGCACTGAGTTGACAGCAGCGTGGAACCTGCCGGACATTTAGGAGAGCGGACTTGAGGATGTCCGGATTTAACACAGAAAGGCACGTAGAAACCGCTTCATTTATCTCCCCAATAAACAGACCTTTGTATTTAAATGATTAAGTTGTGCTCCCCAAAATATCAAACTCTTCTACGCCATTGTACATACACCATAGCGTGAGCCACAGAATGGGTGGGGGTGTGGGGGGAACTCAGGATAATCACTAAAAACGCAGTGGAAAAATTACCTACAAATAGTTTTCTCAGTGTGTGTTAAACTATCTGAAAAAGCCTGAATTATATGTTTTTCAAAAGCAGACACCATTCAGTTCAGCTCTGTGTTTGTACAGCCAAAATGAAGATACTAGCCTGGGCCAGAGAAAAAGCTTCTTGACAAAAAGGTTCCTCATGACCCGCTCGACCTGGCAGAAGCCGGATGAGAAAGCAGTCGCCTTGTCTGTGAAAGCCTTGATGAACCCGGTCTTGTTCTTTTGCCGGAAAAGCCTCAGGATGAAGGCTTCCTGACAGGACTCGATGATTTTATGGGCCCGATACACCAAGATCCCTAAAGAATTATGACATTACATTAAAAAGAATTAAACATCTTCCTCCAGACATCTGGTGCTGGAGATTTTTTAAACATTCCACAATAAATAAATACAGTATGAGCCACAAATAAAAGCATAATAGCATAATAAAATGTCTGGACCAGCACGCTTAACACACAGCTGATATTCCACCTGAGATAAGATGTGCTGGGATGCGATCTGTCAGAAAGTCCACCACCAAGATGCGGCTAGTGACGAAGAGGACGCCCCCTTGCGTGTACACGCCGTATCGCTCGCTGCTCTGCACGTCGCTGGTCACGGTGCGCGGAAGGTGGCTCAGCCCTTCTGCTCGCAACCGCTCGGTGAAGTACTCCTACAAAGTAGTGAAAACATGTCTGTTCGGTCAAATTACTTAAAACTGTCGCATTAAATGGGTAAATCGTAAGGCTTGCAGCTCAGTTCTTAGACGGATGACTTCCGCGTTGTACTTTAAGTTCTAAGGACGTTTTCACATAAAACACGCTTGACAGGAATATATGAAGTCGCGCTTAACAGCGGAACCCACTGTATGGCAAAGTACTTTAATCCGAGATTAAACGAATACTGTATTAAATGCGGCCGCTGAATAATAAGTAGTTTCTGATTTTCTGCTTTCCGGAGGTTAACCTCAGTGCATCCCATCTAACCTCACTACATACCTGCCTGGTTAGTGCTGATTCCAGGTGCCGGATTAGCAAGATGAGGGCACGCATTAGTCATTAGGCTGAACGGATTTGTGTTTTCTCTGCCTATGTTTCTTAATGTTAACCCGCCGTAGTGCTTCTAGACTGAAAAAGAAGAAATGCCTCTGTGTGCATCAGACGTAGAGAACACACTCACCTCTTCAGGAGTAGTAGTATTTAACAGAAGCACAAGGCTCCCCTCCTCTGAGTATACCCGCAAAAACTGCATAAGTATACGGTCAATGCCCATTCCCTCTGCTGTTACAAGCAATCCATCCGTCTCGAAAAGACCGAGAAACATCTCAGTCTCAAACTCCACTAAATTCTTGGCCATTGTAACTCCAAATCCTTATATGGATTGATGTAGACAACTCTCCTAAAAAGCTGTACAGTTACCGTTACATATATCGACTCATCGTGGTGAAGCTTTCCGCAGATGATTAATAATGGGGAACACAAGAATAACCATTGCAAACAACGCTATACAAGACATAAAAAATAAATGTAGCCATAATCCGACACACTGTCACAAACGATCGGCGTGCTCAATAATACTAAAGTTTTTTCCAAGGTAAAATTGATAACCATTATTGTTACAAAAAGGACCACAGGAGACATTTAAGACGCATTTGCAGGACGCTGACTGTAGTCACAGTGGAAACGAGAAAAAAATAATTTACGTCTTTCATGACTGATAAAAAGTTTCTATGCTAGACAAATACATACTTCTCACCATTAGATACAGGCTCTTTAAAACACCTGTCCTAAAAATAATCTAACACCGGCTATCAAACTCGACTCCGGAAACATTGCAGCACCATATTTTGAATTTTGATGTCACGTGACTACGTCTCGTTCTGCTTGGGAAGAATACGCAGAAATCGGCACTGCCCTCTAGCGGATCGGGGGACTAACAAAAAGAACAGTCAAAGCAACATAAATAACACTTATGGTCCGTGAAATTTTAATTTAATCAGCAACTCATTTACAGGTAGACATAACGGAAAGGATATTTGATTTCATTATTATACAACAACAACGACAACAATAATAATAATAATAAGCCCTGCGATGGGCTGGCCCCCGTCCAGGGTTGTTCCCTGCCTCGTGCCCGTTGCTTCCAGGATAGGCTCCGGACCCCCCACAACCCAGTAGGATATGCGGGTTGGGAAATGGATGGATGGATGGATAATAATGATAATAATAATAATAATAATAAATGGGCGGCATGGTGGCGCAGTGGTTAGCACTGTTGCCTTACACCTGTGAGTGACTGGTGTGTGAGTGTACCCTGCAATAGGTTGGCATCCCATCCTGGGTTGTTCCTTGCCTTGTGCCTGTGGCCTTTGGAATAGGCTCCAGACCCCCTGTGACCCTGAATAGGACAAGCGATTACAAAAAAATGAATAGAACGATGATTAAAGATCAGGTCAGGTTGGGGAGCATGCACTAGTGCAGCCCATTGCGCACCCACCCCGTGACTAAACACCTCAGGTTCCTGGTTGGCGACCCCCCAAGCAGACACACGGTCCAGTCCCACCCTCCGGAAATGACTGTCTATCTGTTGCAGCCAGGTGTTACGTAGGCATCCCCTCGGCCTGGTCCAGCCACTCGGGTCCTCAGCAGTGAGGATCCTGCGAGCCGGATCACCGTCAGGGAAACACGTCACATGGCCGTAGTGCCGTAACTGACGCTCCCTCACAATGCAGGTAATGCGCCTCATTTGGGACTCCCTGATCAACTGCTAGTTTGGCACAAAGTCAAACCAGCAGTACCCCAGGAATCTCTGAAGAGACAGTACCAAAGGAGACTAGACACTGGATAGCATCCATGTCTCACAGCATACTAGTTATTTAATGCTATTATATATGTACCTTTTAACTTCTGTGACACCAGCAGAAATTAAATTGGAAAGTATAACAGACTAACTAGAGGGTAATCATTAATTCTTAAGATAAAGCATTTTTAAGAAACAGACATCACAGTTCCTGGAGACGTGAGCTGCACTGGCTTTGGTTCTTCTCATAACGTGGCCAAAATTAGGAAGCTTCAGTCCAGTCATTTTTGGTTCAACTGAAGGACTCAGAAGTCTGCAGTTGTTTTTCCCCTTGCAGTCCATGGTATTCTTAAAAGTCTTCTGTGGCTCCAAATATCGAAGGCATTGAAATTCATCTTGTCCAGCTTCTTCCTTGTCCAGTATCAGCTGTTTGTGGCATCGGCATGGGTCTGAACCTGACAGTAGCTGTGTGTGGAATCTGCACAGGGGTGGAGTGGTGGCTCTGAGGCTAAGGGTCTGTGCCCACAGTTAGAAGGTTGCTGGTTCAAATCCCACAAATTCCTGGAGTGATTATACTCCACTGGGCCCTTGAGCAAGGCCCTTAACTTGCAATTGCTTTATCCTGGGTATGATGTTAATCTACATGCAGGTCCTGCAATTTTCAGGGAAAGGTTAGTGGTAGGACTGGGACTCCAGCCACTGGGGGGGGGATAACTCACACTGTACCATGTGGTGCTGAGGTATTGTCCACTGCATGGCTGCACTCAGATTCTCACCCCTGAGGTGGTTTGCCATGAGGTGGGTGCAGCAACACATTGTACTTTTATGGAATCTGCATGGGTCTGGCCCTGCTATTGGCTGTGTGTGGAATCTGCATGGTTCTGGCCCTGCTATTGGCTGTATGTGGAATCTGCATGGGTCTGGCCCTGCTATTAGCTGTGTGTGGAATCTGCATGGTTCTGGCCCTGCTATTGGCTGTATGTGGAATCTGCATGGGTCTGGCCCTGCTATTGGCTGTGTGTGGAATCTGCATGGGTCTGGCTGTGTGTGGCTTTTTGAATGTGACACCCTGGTAACCTGTCAAGCATCAGCCCTGACAGAAGACAGGAGTCAGAGTAGTAATATATTAGCTGAACCACCATTCAATCTTTTTTTGTCACAGCCGACACAGGCGTTGATGATGGTGTGTTTATAGTGTTAAGTGAGTAATGGAGATTAATAGCCGTCCTCCTTGCCAGAATTGCAGCATTTCCCTCTGGAAAAAAGAACCTGCAATGAGCCAGAAATGCATCACTATGTCAGCTTCTGTGGTTCATGATGCCAGCTGCGAGAAGCTGATTTCTGATGCTTATGTGTTTTGCTAGTTATCACGTTTTTGAAAATATATTTTTACTGCCATTTTACAATAATGAGCATACATTTGTCAGAAAATATAATCTCTCTCAAGGGCAGATCATGTCTGTCGTGCCTTTACAGTCTGGCTATAGAGTAAATCCGATTAAGATTAAAGATTATTGATGTGAATACTTAAAGAAACAGTCGATAAGGACCGACTGGCTGCATTTGGCAAATAATGATGTAATGTTGTATTCTAGTAGTATTAAGTGGGGCAGTGTTCGGGTCAGCAGTTTAGGAAGCTGTGCTCCTGATTGGAAGATTGTTGGTTCAAATCCCCTGACAGGTAGTATGATTTCACCATTAGGCCCTAGAGCAGCGCCATAGCTCAAATTGATTCTCAAACCGTATATCACTTTCTGTCTGCGAAATAAATGTAGGAAGGAGGTGCAGCGATACAACTTACTCTCCACAGACATGTAAATGAGGGAAACATAAGCAACAATCTGCAGATAATGACTTAATAAAAATAATTACCTGCTTTAGTAGATTGGGATCAGTTTTATCCCCTGTAGCAATCAAATAATGTAATAGATTTCACAATGCGATTATCGCTTATTAAGTTGCTTTGTGATTTACTTCGTGAAAGTACCACTAGAGGGGAGTAGAGTACTGCGTTATTGCAAAAATTGTATTTCATTGTATTTCCCTGACATTTAAGAATCAGTTTACAAAACAAGAAGAAAACGTGATTAAAGAAAAATAGTACAATTGATAAGAAGTCTTACCATCACATAGTGCCCTAAATCAATGCAGAAGAGAACATTTTTGCATTTTGGTCTCTGCAAACACATCCATTTTATCCATTTTCATGCTGCAGCACTGAAGTATTTGGGTGATTATTCTCCAATGGTCTTTTATTGTACTTCTCAGTAGGGGATAGGATTTGGTCTCTTAAAAAAGATTAAGACAGCATTCCTTGGCTAGTGTGGGTACAGATACTGCAGAAATTATATCGCAAAGGAAAGACCACAATGTAAAATGTCAGCTTCAGTCCACGTTTAAGTGTTCCTGATAACCATGAATAATTATATATAATGAATGATTCAATCAGTCAGTGACATTAATGAAACTAGCTTGTATGTTACATATACCATGGTCTTGGGATTTTCTGTATTTTGGCACTGGTTAGTGCAGTTATCTCATTCTAGCAGGGCAGGGGCTCCCTCTGTGACCTGCCTTTTCTCGCCATGTCTGCCCAGGATTCCTCTGGGTACTTTAATTTCCTCCTACAGTCTGACAGCACAGTCAGGTGACTTCCTGTTTCTAAGTCACCTGCAGTGAGCGTGAGCATGCACTGCGTGCCCTGTGCTTCCTGGGATAGGCACCGGGCTCACAGATAAAAAGCTGGAGCATTTTTTAATTTATTGATTTACTATTATGAAAATCAGTAACCTTATTGAGTTTACTTAGGTTAACCATTTTGAGGTTATTGAAGTTGATAGATGAAAGCTTAATTCAGAACAACCAAAGAAAAAGGAGGAAAATCAATCCAACAAGAATATTTCAAGGGTCAAAAACATTATCTTTCGGTAAATAGTTAGAAAAGGCATATATAGACTAATGAATGTCCCAAGATGCGTTCCAAACAGAATTGTGTTAAGTTAATATTTGTTTGGATGTAAGACACCCCCCCCCCAGCCCTGCCTTGCTTAATTTTGCCAGGTCCTCAGTACCCTTGTGTGTTTACGCAGATGTTTTGAGAGTTTGGTGTGAACCCACCTGAAATCCTGCACTAAGCAGAGGGAATCAGTGCAGTGGAGGACAAACACGTAGCAATCAGAAGTACAGCGCTCCTCTTCAGCTGTCAATTCTGATTCAAAGTGTGCGTATTTGTAGATTAATGCATCACTTTTTTACACATAAAGTATAATATGTAAACTTCTTAGTGGAGCTCAAATAATTACCAATGCAGGCTACACTGCCTACATAAAAATATCTGTGGATAGATGGTTATGAAATATGTCGGTGTAAAATTAAATTAGAATAATTTGCAAAGTGTGTGACAAAGTAGCTTAATGGCATAAAAACATATTCTTTGGTGTTGGTTCACCTTCTCAATTTTTCCAAATCTAGCTGTTATCTCTTATGGATCAGCTGCAGATCTATTCAGTAAATAATTGTTTAGTATGATATACAGTAATGTGCAAAAGTCTTAGGCTGTTAAAGAAAATGATTAAAGCTATTTATTTGGGTAGTAAGTATATATTTGCTCAGGAAAAAAGCACACAATTTAATAGGAATATATGCAAATGAACAGCAACATAATAAAAGCTAACAATAATTAAATTTGTTATCTTTAAAAGCACAGATATTTTGTTGGATGGCTAGAAGAACATGGCTTCAGTTACCAAACTTCTCGTCAGCAGAGGGCGCACCTAATAGTTCGATAAAATGCCGAACCACGATACCGACCCATGTGCACACAGTGTCATTACACCCCAATTAAAAGGTGTGCTAGAGATCCAGTCAAAAACTACATGGGAGTATTGGACGGTTGCTGCAGAATACTGGGGTGACTCTAAAAGAGGTTTCGAAATGGCTAAGCTGACAGACATAATATCATAATTTTACACCAACATAAATGAGATCATTTAAACATCAATTTCTTTGACTACCTAAGACTTGAGTGCATATATTGGATAGCTGAGGCCAAACCCTGTCAAAATTACTGGCAAAA